AAAAAAAGAAGATGATTTATAATTAAAAGATTGCTCATCTGTATCGAAAAATTCATGGGTTCACTCTATGATGTCCAGAGACCCCCAAGATGGAGGTGAGTTTCTACTGCTACTGCTATTGTTTTACCTCCTTGTGTTGACTGTGGCATGTGTTGGTTGAAGACTTAAAGCAGCATATTGCTCTAGGCGGTACACTATATTGTTGCAGGGGCGCCTGGCTGGCTCATTCAGTATAGCATGCGACTCTTCATCTCAGCGTTGTGAGTTTGAGCCCCACGTTGGGTGTAGAGATTACTTAAAAATAAAAAATAAAGATTTTATTTCTTTATTTATTTGAGAGAGAGAGTGAGCGAGAGCAGGGGGAGGGGCAGAAGGGGAGGGAGAGAGAGAACTCCAAGCCGACTCTGAGCTGAGCCCAATGTGGGGCTCGATCTCACAACCCTGAGATCATGACCTGAGCCAAAACCAAGAGTCAGACGCTTAACCAACTAAGCCACCCAGGTGCCCCCCAAATAAAAGAATCTTTTTAAAAAAAGATTTTATTTGTTTATTTGAGAGAGAGAGAGAGAGCACAAGTCGGGGGGGGGAGGGCAGAGGGAGAGGGAGAAGCAGACTCCCTGCTGAGCAGGGAGCCCGACTTGGGACTCCATCCCAGTACCCTGATATCATGACCTGAGCCGAAGGCAGATGCTTAACTGGCTGAGCGACCCAGGCACTGCAATAAAAAAATCTTAAAAAAAAAAATCATTGGATCATGAACTTAAAGCTCCTAACTGTAATCTATGCACATTCTTCCTGACACATATAAAGGAGGAAGAAGAATTTGGATCCAACAGTCAACTATTTTTATTATACTTCATAGGGTTGATCTTAGAAGAGTGGGGTTCAAGACCTGAGTGTTAAGTGGTTCATACTTTAGTGGAGGGCATCTTGCAAGGGTGGGTAGAAACAATGTCTGCTTTCTCCTCTGCCTCTTGGGTCATAGCCTGTCTGGAGGCTAGCAAAGGTCTAAACACAGAACGGAGGGTATTAGGGATTAGGTTAAGTGACTGTCACAGGCACACGGTCCCACAGTTTTCCTTTAAAGATGGAAATAATCCTCCAATATAGAACATGATACATAACATTGTATTATCACTAAATGGGCTTAGTGAATAGAACAAACATCTCCTACCACCCAGAAACAATGATTTGCTGGCCATGTTTGACCTCTAACCACTAAGGAGTTTTGGTTTTCCCTTCTATAGACATTCTCAACTGATTCCATCAGATCCCTAGTCATCCCAACCATGGTTACCTTCTCTTAAACTGGACAAATTAGTGAGCATAAGTCAGCACTTCAACACCAAATTCAGACTTTATAAAAAAGTAAACCACACAGGGGATAGATATCAACGTGGTGAGCACCTGTTGCTCAAGGCCCGGACTGAAGTGTTTTCACAGGGCTGGGGCTCTGGGATGTGCTAGCCTCATTTGCTCAGCGTTCAGGGTGATTTGTGAGCTATTGCTGAGCACATAATGGTCAGTATAGCTACATAATTGGTCAGGGCCCTAAATGTGTTCACCTGAACTCAGCAAATCAAATTGGGTCTACAGAAAGGTTCTGTTGGGTTCTGACCAGAATCTCTTTGGATTCGCCATTGGATTCTGAGATTGAGCTGGGTTTTGACATGAGAAGATGTTCCGGTTCCTTCCAGCTACCTGTAAGACGCCCTATAATTATAATGCTAAGGATGTAGATTGTCCTTTAACAGACAAAATCCTTTTGATATTTTGTACACACACACACACACACACACACACACACACACACACAAATAACAATAACAATAATAATATGAGAAGCTATTTTCCCAGGTCTAATGAGAGAGTTCCTCAGCCTTCTGGCTTATCTTGATAGTCTCTCTCTTTTTCTTTTTCTTAGCAAAAACTAAATTTTTATCAGTTTAAGTGGGATGATATTTGAGAAACTAGGATCTGGCTAACAAAGGGTATTTTCTTAGCAAAAAGGGCTTAGAGGTCAGCAAAGTGTATCCCAAGATACAAAGAAGGCATGAGTATGAGTTTGGGGCTGTAGCTTGGGTCACTAAAAGTCCTGCAAAACTAGAATTCGTCTTTCTTTTCTCCTTTCTCTGTAGGCACTTAAAGATACTCTTTTTTCCCTCAGAAATCAGACTTTTCTATTGAAGTATATTTGGCACATACTATTGTGTAATTTTAAAGTGTACACATGTTAATTTGATACATTTATATATTGTAATATGACTGCCATTGTAGTGATAATTAGTACCTCTATCATATTACATAATTATTATTTCTTTCTAGTGGTTGGAATAATTAAGTTTAGCAAGTTTTATGATTATAACACAATATTGTCTATATTCACTATGCTGTCCATTAGAGCTCTAGCACTTATTTACTATTCACTGAAAATTTGTACCCTTAAAAAACATCTGTCCTATCCCTCCACCACCCATCCCCTAGTAACCACCATTTTACTCTCTGTATTTAGGAGTTTGCCTCTTTTAGATTCTACATCTAAGTGATATTATTGAGTATTTGCTTCTCTGATTGACTTACTTCATTTAGTGTAATGTGCTCAAGGTCCATTCATGTTGTTGTAAATGGAAGGATATCCTTCTTCCTCATTTTCTTTATCCACTCATTCATTGATGGGCACTTAGGTTGTTTCCATATCTTGGCTATAGTGAATAATGCTGCAATAAACATGGAAGTGCATATATCTCTTTGGTATCCTGTTTTCACTTTCTTTATGGATATGCCCAGAAGTAGAATTGCTGGATAATATGGTAGATCTATTTTAAATTTTTTTGAAGAATCTCCATATTGTTTTCCATAGTGGCTGAACCAATTTACATTCCCACCAACAGTGTTACAAGGGTTCTCTTTTCTTCACATCCTCGCCAACATTTGTTGTTGTCTTCTTGATGATAGCCATTCTAACAGGTGTTAGGTAGATATCTCATTGTGATTTTTCTTTGCATTTCCCTGTTGATGAGTGATGTTGAATATCTTTTCATGTACCTGTTGACCATTTGGATGTCTTGGACACATTCTATTTAAATTTATTTAGTGATAGTTTTCACCATCAGACAACATATTTGTTTACAGGTAGATTTTTAAAATAGTTTAAAACTCTTAGAGAAATCACGTCTCAGATATGCTATTTCTTCCTTTAACTTTTAGATATCCCCACAAATAGAGTACCTAGCCTTCCATATCTGGGCATTCTTCAGCATTCCAGCACTGAGATTGTTTTTGTTTTTCATTTTTAAACTACCATCTATTGAACGCTCACTCTGTGCCAAACACTATGCCAAGAGCTTTACATGCATGATCTCATGTTCTTCTAGCAATCCCGTGAACTAGGTATTATTCTGATTTTTCAGAAGAGGAAACTAAGACTCAGAAAAATTAAGTAACTTGCCCGATGGCATATAGCTAATGAGTAGAGAAGTTGGAATTCACATCTACATCTCTCAACTCTTGCTTTCCCACTGTGCTTTTGACTTTCCTGGGACGCATTTTCCCTTGTTCTTCAATTTGGGTTGGAGTAGCCTATGATTCTGCTCATGAAGATATACCTCACTTTACAGTAAATATTAGGCACTAAATAATGTAAAGTAATCCTGCAGTGTTTCTTCTTCTTCTTCTCCTTCGCCCATCCTGCTACTCTCCCTATTCCTTCCTCCCCCTCTTCTTCCCTTCTTCCCCCCCTCCATTCCCCCTCCCCCCCCGCTTTAAACAAAATATCTTTTTGATTTGAGTTCTCTAACATTGGCACATATCTACAAATTAAGATTTTTGAACACTGTTCTGTAAACGTCTTTACCACATTAAGTTTGTACTCCTTTTTCTTAGCTCATTTTTTTGGTCAGACATATTATTTTAGATTTTCAGGTTGTCTAATAAACCACAAGTTCACAGACTCATAAAAATTTAGAGGGGGAGACAGCTTCAGAGATCTGCTCATCCAACCCTGTCATTATATGGGCAAGGGAGGCAGCGGGTGGCTGCAGGCCCCCTGGTTGAGCCAGAGTCTCAGTTCTTCCACCTACAACTGGAGGAAATCTTACTGCTTCTAAGGAGTTGTTCCAGAAGTTCACAAATCAGGAGGAGATATCTAAATGGATGTTTTCAATTTTGTTTAGAAGAAAGAAAGACTAATACCAAGTGGCAGATGGTTTTGCTCTGACCATTTTCAGGAGTATCCCTAAGATACACTGCTACCACCAGGCTGCGGCAACCAGTCAGGACTGCTCAGAGCAAGGTAACCTCTCCGACTGGCTTCTGCTCGGGTTTTAATCAGAAGAGGGATGCTTGGCGGCAGACTGGCCTCTGGGTGTTCAAAAGGACTTTTTGTTCCTTGGTCATATTTCTATTAGTCCTTCTCTGCCTTTCTTTAACATACAAGACAAAATCAGGAGAAGGGGACCAGAATATCTGGAGGGACAGAAGAAGAAGCCCCAGAACAGAGAAGGCTGGTGGTTATGTTTGATCTGAGCCAGCTCTCAGTAACGCACAACATGGAGGCCTGTCAGTGATGTGCGGACAAGTGACAGCCCTGGCATTTTAACGTAGCAATCCTTCACTTGCATCCTAAGCTCCTAGTTTGGGAGAATAAATTCCAAATAGCATTTCCAAGGAGAGATTGATAAATATTTGGTCATTAACTAGAGACCAAATTCTCCCTCAAAATTTAATGAACAAGAAAATGTAAAACCTCCTCCCAACTTTTTTTTTTCTTTATTCCTTGCTTATATACCACTTGGCTGAGCGTTCTGCCTTATGTTTGTTAAATGAAAAGCATCCGTTTTGTTCTGGCATAAACAGCAATATAAGCATAGTTTCATACATTATTCCAATGTATTTAACAATGAGGTTCTTCTCATTTTGCACAGAATAGGACACACAATGAAGACAATCAATGAAAACCAGAAGATCTACCGTTATAATTAAGAACATCAAGAATAGGCAGCAAGGGACCAAGGAAGTCAGGCTGCACATACATGGACAAAGCCAATTTCTTAGAAGATACAACTTCTAAGCAACAGAAAGATTTGCCTTATGATGGGGATTTCTCCCAAATTAAGATATACAATGATTACAATTTTACCTCAAAAAATGACATCCTTGATGTCTCAAATCAAATTCCTTTAACAGTAGATGACCTTCAAGGAAAGGCTACCTATAAAGAGACTTGCAGAAATGCAGACATGGCCATGACTCTGGGTAAAATGACTAAAACTGTTATCAACAAAAACTATGATAAAGAGAAACAATTCACTGTAAATCTTGATATCCTGGCTAATGAAAGAGACCCTTCCAAGTCAAGCATTTCTGATAATTTACTCCATCATCTTTCCAATGAGGAATTCTTAAAAGGTCAAGGCATTAATTGTGAAACTTTCCCAGAGATTTCTAATGCTGACAGTTCTGATGAAGCTATTGTTAAAAATATTATTTTGCACTATGTTAAGAATTCTTGGTCAAAAGAACAAACCCCAGAACTCACAGACCAACTGAGCCCCAAAAGGGGTGGTGAAAACAGCAATATGCCCTGTTGTTCTCTAACTGTGACAGAAGGAAACGCCTCTGACTTAGAGGCTGCTGGAGAGAGCAGCCATCAAGAAACTTCACATTTTCTAACTAAAATCAAGAGTCCGCATGATAAACCAAAAAGTTGCCAAGGGCAGCTGCCCCAGAAACTGCAGACTGAAAAAGCAGTTTCAGGCACTGAGTTCAAACATGGCTGTAGTCTGGTTCCTTACGAGTTATCTGATTTCCCTAAGGTTGCTCCCAAAGGGAAAATCCCTAAAAATAAAACAATTAATAAACCACTTACAACGGATAAACAAGCCAGCTTTTCTCCTAAATTGAGAGATAAGTCAGCTATTGTGCAAGATATTTTAGAAAGCATGTCTAGGTCAAACTGTATTGAAAGACAAGGACAGAAAAGGAAAACTGCTGAACCTTCACAACAGATAGAGGTAAGTGAAAGTGGTCTCCAGGAAATGCATGATCGGGGCCACTTCTCATCCATATCAGTGTGGGTCTTTTCAAGGTGCATGGAACTGACCTAATCTTTGACCTCTCAGAAGCTCAGTGGGTGTCTTCCTGAGAAGAATCAGGGGCTGGACAAACAACAACACATCATAGAATAAACTCCAAATTCTTTGACCTGGAATTTGAGTTTCCCCATTTTTTTTTTTTTTTTTTGGCTCCATCCTACCCTTATAAACTTAGCTCTCATCCCCCAGGAGTCATCCTCAGTGAAGTGGCTGGTTCCCAAGCTCTCTGGGCCCGCACCCTTGGAGCTCCTGCCCCACATGGAACATCCCACCTCTGCTTGTCAAAGACGTGCACATTTTCGTGGCCCCCTTCAATCCCCCGATGGCTGGGGGACTTTCTGACCCTCACTCCCACCCCCAGTCAGTCCTTCACATCCTCTGTTGTTTAGGTTTCTGTCAGAGCATTTATTTATGTCAGGCTGCTTTGGATCATGATAATTTGGAAATATCTCTTTCTTCCACTAGACTTGAGTACTCTGGAGGGCAGCAACTTTGTCTTCATCTTTCTATTGCCTAATTCCCCAGGGACCTGGCCTTCTATCTTCCATATATTACATCCTTAGTTATTAATGCTAAATCAAATCAAATTTAGGTCTTTAATAACATTCCAAGCTTCCTATATTGGCAACTATTTAGTAGCAGTTTTTTTAATGCTTACATTGGGATGTTCTTTATTTTTTTTTAAGTAATCTCTACACCCAACATGGGGCTCAAACCCACCACCCCAAGATCAGTAGTCGCATGCTCTACCAACTGAGCCAGCCAGATGCCCCTGAAGACCAAATTTTGTTAATGTTTCATTTATACTATTTCCCCTTTCCTCATCTTCCCATCCCCCCTTCCAACTTCCCAACACATTGAGGCTTGGGACCTCATTGATTACTTGAGGTTCAGTAGTTAGGTAAATTCGCATTAATCATCAAAGTAAACATTTTAGTTCTCTGGCACTTTGCCCTCACAGTATGATCTTTCCTTTAAGCTGTGTACGAAGGGCACTCTGAACTGAAAAACACTCTCTGCCTGTTTCCATTTCTACCCCTCATGCTCAGCCCTCTCTTTCAGCCGAGTGCTCTGGGAAGCCTGGGCAGAACACCTGAAGCAGAACACCTGAAGCCAGCAGCCCACCTGGCCTCGGCTGGTGTGCTTCTCTGTGTCTGACCCTGGCAAGTCTCAGGGGTTCTCATTCGGCTTGCAGGAAAAGACCCCTGGGGATGCCCAGTCCTTGGGCCCGGAGGTGAATAGGAACAGATTGGATATTAGGCTCACCTCTCTCTGGCTGTGGCAGCCTAAAGTCAAGTGTCTGATTTTCTCTAGTCCTGTCGATCAAGGCTGGAGAATAGGCTATCCATCATACAATTGAGGTATTCGTCATAACCAAAGTCTAGTTTGACCACCACCGTTGAGCGCTCAGGCACAAGCATGTTTCTGAGCTTTCTGTGTTGAGAACAGTGGGAAGACCTCAAGGTGAGTCACTCTGGAATTTAAGCTCCTGTCCTGTTAGTCTGTGGTGAGTAAACAATCACTATCTTGACTCACATTTTGGAACTTAATGCCTACGGTTTTATATTATTCTCTAGAGTGTGGCTACTGTGCGCACAGTGTTAGTGAGAACACCAGCCACAGGGCTGGTGAGAAGACCAACAATGGTCCCTGCCCTCATGGAGCTTATGGTCCACTTTTGGGAGAAATGTTTCAGCAGTCCCTGTAGTACTATCGAACATGGTAGTAGTAACAGCTGATGTGTCATGAATGCTTTAACCACGTGCCAGATCTTATGGTAATACCTAACATTTCATCCTCATAACAACCCTAGGAGGTAGGTTCTATTTCTATCCTCATCTTATCGCTGAGGAATTTGAGGTTCACAGTGATGAAGTAATTGTCTTGAGTCACCCAGCAGATAAGTGTCAGAGTGGAATTCAACCTTGGCATCAGGGACCCAGCTCTTGACACAACTCTGGGCCGCCTCCATGATGACCACACATTTTGGATCTTTTTGAATAATGGAGTCAACAATAAATAGTGTTTTCTTATGCTTTAATTGTACAGATGGAGCCCACAATACATATTCATCAAGAACCTCTCACAGGTACTAATATTTGATTTGATTTGATTTTTTTATTTTTTTAGAGGGAGAGAGAGAGAGAGAGAGAGGAGATGGGAGGAGGGGCAGAGGGAGAGGGAGAGAGAAAATCTTAAGCAGGCTCCACGCCCAGCATGGAACCTGATGTGGGGCTTGATTTCACGTCTCTGAGATCATGACCTGAGCCGAAATCAAGAGTCAGACGCTTAACTGACTGAGACACCCAGGCGTCCCAGGTACTAATATTTTTAAACCTTTTTTGATTTAGATATACATTTTGAAAACTTTTTTTAAATAGCAAATGGTGGTGGTTGCCACAGACTTCTGTTTTTAGGACTTAATAAATCTGCAGTAAAGTTGAGATGAATGGAAGCCAAAACTTATTCTTTCTTATACAGGAATAGAATCAGAGATGAGTCTCTTTAAGGTGTCATCAATGTCTCAGAAAGACATTTTCCCAAGTTCTTCTTCCATATTTCAGAAGATAACCCAAGGGAAACAGATGTGCCAGAAGTTAAAAGAACAGACTGATCAACTGAAGACTAAAGTAATATTTTTAAAGCTTATTATGATGAATAGATGTGACCAAATTCAGACATAAGACATCATGCCATTAATGAAATATTGCATTTTTTCACTGCAGGTACAAGAATTTTCCAAAAGCATAGCACAGGACTCTCCCTATCATTTGCAAGATAAGAGGCTGGTAATAAATTTTATCCAGTTTTAAACATCTCTGTTAGGGAATTTGACTTGGGTAAATGCAAATGACTTTATAGCACCATGTTTTCCCTACATTGGTGGGAGTAGAAATGTTCTGGTGGAAATACTTTGCTGAAGATTAAGGGCAGTGACCTCCAGAGGCCTGGTCTTGTGTCTTACATATATTATGCTCCTAATTATTAATGATGAGTTGAATTGAATTAAGATCTTTTTGTTTTTAAAGATTTTTTCATTTATTTGAGAGAGAGAGAGAGCACATGAGAGGGGGGAGGGTCAGAGGGAGAAGCAGACTCCCCGCTGAGCAGGGAGCCCGATGTGGGACTCGATCCAGGGAGTCCAGGATCATGACCCGAGCCGAAGGCAGTCGGTTAACCAACTGAGCCACCCAGGTGCCCCTTTAATAACATATTTCAAGATTGATATATTTGGTAACTAGTATGAAATGTTGTTAGTGTTTAATTTACACTATTTCCACTTTCCCCTTCTTCCCATCCCCCCCACCCAGCCTCCCAACACGCTGAGGCTGAGGATCTCTTTGGTTATTTGAGGCTCAGGGGCTTTGTGTTACAGGGGCTAAAAGAGCTTAAAATTCTATTTCTACATGTATTTAGCCCTCTCTCATTCTCAGGGGAATCTATTACCTATGGCTATTATTTCTTAGCAGTCACCCCACAATAAATCTGAGACCATGGTAGGCTTAAGAGAATAACATGTTAGTTATAAAGGGCAAGTCCATCCAGAGTTGTTGGGTCCTGGGGGATACAGGTTATAAAATTTCCCAGTAAATTTCCCATGTTCAGGTACTGGGAAATTTTGAAACTTTGAAAACCTAAAACAGATCTTAAAGCTATGCTTTTCAGATCAAAATCTGTGACTGTCCCATCCTTGCTTGTTGTTGCATTTAATCAAATCACTAATTTATATTGTAACCACACAGCCTTGTTCATCAGCTCCAGGGTTGTGGGAAGTCCGGGTGGAGCATGGCAATGGGGCAGAAAGCTGAGATTGCTAGAGCCAGACATGTGCAGAGTCAAAGATGCTGTTCAGACCATTAGGTCAGCAACAGGTGATCAGAAGGCAGGTGGTCAGAAGTCCCAATGTGAAGGACCACAAGCAAAGCTCAGGGCAGGCTGTGCAGCAGAAATCAGACAGCATAGGCAAAAACCAGGAGGACTCAAATGTTAAGAGACACAGGGCAACAGTGCATTATTCATTCGTTCTTCATGTTAATTAAATAACTCATTCATTCATTCATTCAACACTTGCCAGGTACTTCCTATGTCCCAGATATTTTACCAGGTACTAGGGATTTGGAGATGAAGAAACAGTTTCAAGTGACTTACAGTCTCCTGGGAACAACAGACTGATAAACAGATAAGCAACATGAAGCTCTAGAAATATTACATATAATGCTAATGGCAGCCTAGAAGAGGCTCACCGTTGCCAATTAGAGGGCACTTGGGAAGGCCCCCTGGAAGTGACTGACCTGTGAGCTTGACACTGTAGGATGAATATGTATGAGATTGGCAAAGTAGGGGCAAGAGGGTGTTCCAAGAAAAGGAATCAGCAGGTACAATGGCACAGGGGGCAGAGAGTGCTGATAGTTTGAGGAACTGTATGGCACTGTAATTGGCCAGATGGAGCTCAGGGTCGTGTGGTGAAAAGAAAGAGAGGAAATGAGAGAGGGGGTTAAGGACTACATCGTGAAAGACCTTTAAACCATGCTAAGGAGCTTAGATTTTACCCTGAGGTTAAGTGATGGGGCAACATTGGAGGATTGAAAGCCAAGAAATGGCGAGCACCCTGGGGGCAAGTCTGTAGCTAGGAAGCCATACTCCAGGTAGCAAGTTATGAGGGCCTGAACCAAACCAGGCAATGGGGATTGAGAGGGGAACACAGCTAAGAGTTTAACCAAGTGGTGGCAGGTTAAGAGGAGTGAATAAAGGAAGGGAGGAGGCTTGGATGAGTTTCAGATTTCTAGCTTGGGCAACCAAGGTCAGGACTAAAAATGGAAGATCCAGTTCCTAGTGGGTGTGGGAGGCGAGCAGGAGGCAAGGCACCAAGTTCATTTTGAGGTCCTTATAGGACATCCATTTGGAGAGATCCAGTAGGCAATTAGACCAATGGATCTGGGCCTCAGAGGGGTTGTTTGGGCAGAAATGTAAATTTGGGCATAGCTGTGGGTTGAAGTTATGAAGTATATGAGATTGCCCAGGCAACATGCAAAGTAAGCAGTAAAGAAGTACAAGGAAAGAATCAGCAAACAGGGGCAGGCAAAGGAAGACGGAGTCAAAGGAGACTGACAAGGAGTGACCCGAAAGGTCAAGGCAGACCTACAAGGGGCAGAGCTGTTAAAGCCAAAAGAAAAGAAGGGGGCATGGCCACATCACCAGATGTTCAAATGAGGAGGAAAAAACCAAGAAGTGCATCGGATTCGGCCAACAAGAGATCATGAGGGACCTTGGCAAATGCAGTTTTAATGAAGTGGTAGATCTGTTGAAGCTTAAGGAGTGAATGATAAAGGAGATATAAAAAATCCAGGCTTTCAGGAACCGGGAGAACACAGATTTTTATTTTTTATTGTATTTTTTATAAGGATTTTATTTGACAGAGAGAGCATAAGCAAGGGGGTAGTGGCAGAGGGAAAGGGAGAAGCGGGCTCCCTGCTGAGCAAGCCCGATGTGGGGCTCCATCCCAGGACTTCAAGATCATGACCTGAGCTGAAGGCAGATGCCCAACTGATTGAGCCACCCAGGCGCCCCGAACACAGGTTTTTAAAGGGCTGAGCAAAGCAGAGGGAACTGGTACCAAGCACTAGTGTTCTGAGGCTTCAATCCAGGAAGTTTCTCCTTGATGCTAGAGGATATGTGGGGATTTGTGCTGGGATGGAGAGGAGAGTCAAGGTGACTCCTGACAGTGTCAGCCTTGGCCTGAGAGTTCCAGGCCCATTTGGTTCAGTGCTAGAAGAAGGCCAGACAGGGCTAAAACTAACCTCAGGAAAAAAAAAATCTAAAAAAGGGGGTGCCTGGGTGGCTCAGTTGTTAAGCATCTGCCTTCAGCTCAGGTGATGATCCCAGAGTGCTGGGATCGAGCCCAGCATCGGGCTCCCTGCTCAGTGGGAAGCCTGCTCCTCCCTCTCCCACTCCCCCTGCTTGTGTTCCCTCTCTCGCTGTGTCTCTCTCTGTCAAATAAATAAATTTAAAAAATAAAAAATCAAAAACTAAAACTAACCTCAGCACAACAGAATGGAAAGCACTTGGATGTTGGAGCAGACATTCTAGTTCTGCGTACTGGTTGTACGATCTAAGACATGAAGTGTGTCTTTCCACCCCAGAGTTGCTATGAGAATTAGAGGAAGTACATTTATGGCTAGAAAAACACACTCTATCTTCTTTGGAGATAAAATACAGTTTGAATCCCAAGATCTTAAATGATAACTTGTGATTGGCTTTCTCTCTTTCTCCTTCCTTTGAACACCTAATTCCTTTTCACAGTTTCCACTGCCGTCACCATCTACCAATTCCTAAGTTACTGGTCCTAACTTCCCATCTACAGCTCCAAATGTTTGTATGTATCTTCACTTGGCTCTCCCGCTCTCGCTGAAAATTCTACTCGTCCAACATTGACAGCTTCATTCGGATCTGTTAGTCTTTTCAAATCCTCATTTTAAGTCAAGGGTTTCGCATTCTTTCCGCCTCCCAAGCTAGAAACCAGAGCATTATCTGTGGGATTTACAGTATCAGTCAGGGTCCTGGCAGGACCTTGACGGTTTACTCCAGTGGAGCAACTGAGGAGAGTTTAATAAGGCCTCATTTTACAACGGTGCAGGCAAGGTTAGGGGCCATCAATAAGGGACAGAGAGCATCTCATAGAAGGAACAGTGGGGCAAATGGGATGGAGGAAGAGCAGATTTTGGAGCGCAGGGAGAGTAGCTATAGCAGTAGGAGAAGCTGATGCAGGCAGGAGGACAGCAGGGAAATAAAGACCCCTAGCTCATCCTTCATTTCTCTCTTCTGTTGCCTTCTACTGGCTGAAACCAATGCTGGGGCAAGGGGGCCTGTTGATGCAGTCCACTGAAGGTCAGCCTTCTGGCTGGGGCACAGAGAAAGATGGAGGATGCAGCTGGGCAGGGGACATGGAAAATAGCTACCACACCTGCCACTTTGTATGCCCTAAGGCCGATATGTTTCCAAACTTGTTTATTCATTTTTAATAATCAGAAGTAATCATTATGATGATGATCCTGGCACTCAGCCTTAACTCATTTAATTTTCACAGTATGAGGTGAGGGCTATTATTATCTCAGATGAGAAAACTGAAGTTTAGAGATCAAGTTGACTAAAATCATACAATTATTAGGTGATAGAGTCTGAACTTGAACCCCAGGGTGTCTGATCCTGTAACCCCATTGTGCTATACGCAGTATCTCTCCAGTCACCGTTTCCTTTCCATGTTCATGAATACTGCCTGGCCCAGGCCCTCCTGGGCCTTCTTTAAGCCTGACTTAGCTCTCACTTTTACTGAGCCATGGCAAAATCCTCGAATCCAGTCTCTTTTCCCAACTAGAATAAAATCCCTAAGACCAGGGGTGGTTGGGCCTGATATAACTTTTGAATCTCTCACGTTTGGCCCGGGGCCACACACAGGCAGTGCTCAGGGAATGTTTAGCTACTGGGACTGCAAGGCTGAAGCGTCTATACGTCAAGACGAGACCTTAACCTTCACGGCTTAAGTATTCATCTGCATGGCGCTGCATGTGTGGACGTCTCGAAGACCGATTCGAAGCTCTGGCTAAACTTCTTGATGTCCCTTCCCCCATCTCACCCTCCAAGTGCCGTAAACTCAAGCTCAGATCCTCTAATGTCAGTTCCTTTTAAGGTCTGTGTGGCTTCAGGCATACCTCCTAGAGCTCCAATTTCCTCCTGTACACAGCTAAGATAATAAAATCTATTTTGCAACATTTACCACATTGATGTGTGGATTAAGTAAGACAATGCACGGGAAAGTGCTCTATAAGCTACAAATCATTCTGCAAAAGCACAGGATTCCTGATATCCTATTAAGGAAGTTCAGAGGCCCCTAAGTGGGTTCTGGGAGAGAAATCAGGTCATTGCACTGAAAAAGCTGTGTGCTAGGAGGGTGTTGTAAACGTGGAGATGGCTCTTGGGTAGTCTGTATTTTAGATGTCACACTCTGAAATGAAACAACGGCCAGGAGAAGGATTGTGGCTTTATTTTGAAACTACCATAGAGTACACCGCCCTTGTATTTGAGGGAAACCAACCACAAGCAGAGGCTTACATGTGCATGATTCCGGTGACTTTACTACTACAGGTCCTGGAGAAACTGCAGGGACATCTTGAACTGCTGGAGCAGGAGTTTCTGGACAAGAAGGAGATGCATCTGACTTTGAAGCAAGTTCACAGGCATGAGTCCCCAGCTGTCGGTGACTTTGATCCAGAAAGGTCAGGGTTAAACTGTGTGAGGTGGAGGGGGCAGAGGCGACCTCCTTCAGGTGGGATTCTGAGGTGGTTGCCAGCCTAGTGATTGCACAGCCCCTGGTCTAGCATCAGCAAAAACTCTGCCACCAGTGAACAGGTGTTACCCCATGCGACAAGCAGTGTGGAATCCCCGCTACATATGAAGTCCTGGGCTGGGCACTGACCCAGACAGAGTCCTGGAAATGAACAATTGTCTCCTGGAGGAGAGATTTTGTACTACCATCCTGTCCTTTGTTGGAGGTCAGAATTGGTTCTGAGACTCAGAACAGCACGAGAAAACTCTAGAAAAGCTCACACGCTAACCCCAGAGGGCCTTCTCACCAAGATCCTCGTGTTCTGCCCTTCACCCCACTCCTGCCTCTGTTTCCTCTGCCTGGTTCTTCTGTCCCCTTCTCTCCCCCGCCCCTTTTCTTTCCCATCCACAGACAATTCCGCCGGGGAGGTGGGCCTGAGACGGCCAGTGTTAGGTTGGTTAATGTGGGGCTGAAGGACCCACAAGTCCCTGTAAAGGGGAAAATGTTGAAGCTTAAAGTCAAAATGACTTCTGAGTTAGTTCACATTAGAAACTTGGAAGCAAATTCACTGAAGTTTCCAACTGGCCATTATTTTATGGCCCTGCGCTCCTTTCTCCAATCCAAATAATTTTAAGATGTATTCCAGGACTCAAGGCTAGGATTGTTTCCATTTAATTTCCTGGTACGAATTAAAAGAATCCATTTAGGAGGCTTAATCTTTGTGAGTGCAGCTCTTTCCATTCATAGCATTTTCACATGGAATCATTCTTGAGGCCACATTACTTTAATGGTTTATATTTTGGCCCTAGTGTCCTGAGGTATTTTTTTCCCCCCAAAGGACAATTTTACTTTCTCAAAATGAATGAAATCTCTGTCTACTGTTATTTCCATACTGAGTAATTAGACAGCAAGGATGAGGTTTTAATGTTGATTTTTCCCCCCAAAGGCTTATTTTGTTTTCTGGGAAAAGAAAGATCTCTACATATTTTCACAATTTATTTAAAAACTAATAGAGTAAGGATATTTATTTTCCAAGGAATCCCACTTGTCTGGGCAGTCATTTTAAAGTCAGGCCTTGGTGCACAGTGAGACCAAAGTTATGCAATGCCATATTTATATCCTAGTTACACCCACAGTGTGCTGGACCCAGTATAAATCAAAAGAGTTTCAACTGCAATTATATCCCAGATACAGGAAAAGCTTTCAATACTGGGGCAAGGGAAGGACCCAGTCTCTCCCAAAACTGAGTTAAAACCAGCTCAGAGCAGGCAAGGCTGCTCAGCTTGACACTGGTTCCTCTTGTTCTTGCATGGGCATAATGTGGCAATGAACTTCTAGAACCCCATACAATTGTCCAGAACCTTCTAAGTGTTGAATCCAAAGGCCATTGTAGATGGCTTTCTGCAGGGGAAAGAATTCTGCTGATTCATTGACGAATTACTTGTTTAAGTCCACTATGTGCTCATATTACCTTTAAAAGGTAATATGCAAAAATAGTTGTTTTATTTCATGTAGCTTGTTTGTCAGAATATAGTCTGATAGTCATTTCACAGGCTAACACCAGAAGCCAAGGGGTCAAGGAATGGGGTTCTTTCTCCACCAATCCCTTCTCTCTGATATTACGAGCATACGATCTTGTCTTCTGCTTTATGGAAAAGATCACAAATCCCCTCAAAAATGCCTTTTCTGGGGCACCTGGCTGACTCAGTCAGAAAAGCATGTGACTCTTGATCTCAGGGTTGTGAGTTCAAGCCCCACGTTGGGTGTAGAGATTACTAAAAAATAAATAAACTTAAAAAAATGTCTTTCCCCCATCTCCAGATCTGCATGTTTTCACCTCCTCTTTCTTCCTTCACTCACTTCCAACCCATCTGGCCATGGTCCTTGAGCCCATTTCTTCCCACCACCTTCAGGCCTTGCTCCACCATTTCACTTCCTTCCGATTTTCAGCCTGTCCTTGTCCCCTGCCTCGTTCTTGTCCGCCTGCCAGATTAGAGCATATTTTCCTATATTTTACTTGACTCTCAGTAGGGTTTTCCATGCTTAGATCTTTGTACCACTGCTTACTGAGTAGAGCAGCCTTTCCCACTGGATGGAAAAGCCACTTTTATCCTATAAAAAAAACCTCTCCATGTGTAGATGGGTCTGGTTCAATTCCATCCCGTTGAGTTACGTTTCTATTTCCACCTTAACCACACAGTTTTAAATGACTATAGTCTAGTGTACATTTTGAAATATTTCTTCTTTAAAAGTTGTTAGCTGTCCTTGCACCTTCTTCTTACCCATAAACTTTACAATCAGCTCACCAAATTTCCTTAATGAAATTCCACTAGAATTCTGTTTAGAATTGTGTTGAATTTACAGATTAGTTAGAGTTAAAACCTTTGCAATGAGTATTCCCATCCAAGAGCATGTTTTCTTCATGTAGATTTCATGAATGTTTTGTTAGACTTATTCCTAGCTATTTTATAGGTTTTCTGAGCATTAGTAATAGATGTTTTCTGTAATTGATATACAGGAAATAAAGAAAAATCGTATATTTAACTTGTGCTGGGTTACGTTACACAAGTTTGTTTTTAGTGTTCTTTGATTATCCATTGATTGTCTTCTTTTTAGGTGTGACAGTCATAGCATTTGAAAATAATTCCCCCCCCTAAATATTTATACTTTATCTTTTCTTCCCTCCAATTCTTATATATCACATTTCTTTTTATTGATTTATTTTATTTGCTAGGTTTTCCAAAACAATGATAAATAATACTAGCAAAAGCAATCATTCTTGTCATGTTCTGAACAGTAAGGGAATTTTTTCCAAGTATGATACTTGCTGTAGTTTCAAGTAGATAATTTATCAAGATTCTACTCCCAGTTTACTAGGATTAGATTTTTTTTTTTAAATTTGGGAAAATGTTTAATCAAGTGGGATTTAGAAATCTATTTATTTCCTAAATCTATCAATACAGATTAACCCATAATTGATTAATATTAACATATTATTAAACATCCTAATGTTTAACTATAGAATGATTTGGGAAATTTTCCCTTTTCTTTTTATGTTCCAACTTAAAGTCTTTCTAGATCTCATTCAGAATCCCACTTGGATTTGGTGCCTTTTGGGGGGTAGATTTTCGATAATCTTTTCTATTTTTCTCTGGGTAGTTTTTTCAGATTTTCTACCTCTTTTTGAGTAGATTTTAATAATTTATGTTTTCCTAGAGACTTGTCCATTTCATCTAGATTCTAAACTGTGTTGGTATAAAGTTGTTCAATCCCATTTGATTAAAAAATTTTCTTCTGTTATCTTTCCTTTCTCGCTCTTAATGCTTTTCAGTCAGACTTTCCACTGGTTTATTTTATAGATATTTTCAAAGAAAACGTTTTATTGATCAAATTCTTTCCAGTTCTATTTATATCTCCTTTTGGGGGGTTTATCTTGTGGTTCTTTTTCTATCTTTCTGTTTTGAAGATTTAGCTTATTGATTTTGCAATTTCCCTCTAGTAAATGCATTTTAAGCTATAAACTGTCCTCAGAGTACTATACTAGCTACATTACATTGGTTTTACATGTTGTTTTCTCATTTATTATTCACTTGTAGAATATCCCTATTCTCTATTTTTATTTCCTAGTAACCCAAGAGTTATTAGGATGAGTGTTAAAATTCCCAATTAGTTTTTTGTTGTTTTTGTTGTTGCTGTATTTTTGTTATTAATTTCCAGTGATCAAAGAATGTGGGTGGCAAAAATTTTAAGACTTTTTAAGAGTATCTTTAGCTTCACAGGAAAATTGAGAGGAAGATACAGAGATTTCCCATATACCTCTGCCCGCACACATGCACAGCCTCTCCCATTATCAACATCCCCCACCAGAGTGGTACATTTGTTACAACTGATGAACCTACACAGATAAATCATAATTGTCCAAAGCCCAGAGTTTGCATTGGGGTTTACTGTTGGTGCTGTACATTCTATGGTTTGGACAAATGTATAGTGACTTGTACCCATCTTTATGGCATCATACAGAGAATTTTCACTGCCCTGAAAATCCTTTGTACTCCACCAATTCATCTTTCCCCCCACCCCAGCCTCTGGCAATCGTTGATCTTTTTACCGTTGCTATAGTTCTGCCTTTTCCAGAATGTCACATAGTTAGAATCACGCAATATGTAGACTTTTCAGATTGAGCTTCTTCTACTTAGTAATATGTATTTAAGGTTCCTACATGTCTTTTCATGACTTGAAAACTCATTTTTTAGTGATGAGTAATCTTCCATTGTCTAGATGTGCCACAGCTTATTTAGCTATTCACCTACTGAAGGACATCTCGGTTGCTACCAAGTTTTGAAAAGTATGACTACAGATGCTATAAACATCTGTGTGCAAGTTTTTTGTGTCAACATAAATTTTCAGCTCCTTTGGGTAAATACCAAGGAGTCTGATTCCTGGATCATATGGTAAGAATATGTTTAGTTTTGAAAGAAACTGTCAAACTGTCTTCCAAAGTGGCTGTTTGTACTCCCACCAGCAATGATTGAGAGTTCCTATTGCTCCACATCATTGCCAGTATTTGGTTGTTAGCATTCCAGATTTTGGCGATTCCACTAATGTATAGTGGTATCTCATTGTTGTTTAAATTTGCACTTCCCTGATGACATATGTTGCAGAGCATCTTTTCATAAGCTTATTTCCCATCTGTATATTTTCTTCGGTGAGGTGTCTATTAAGGTCTGTAGCACATTTTAAATTTGGGTTGTTTTCTTATTGTTGCATTTTAAGGGTTCTTTGTATATTTTGGATAACGATCCTTTATCAGCCCTTTGCCAATATTTGCTCTTGGTCTGTGTCTTGTCTTCTCATTTTCTTGGCAGAATGGAAGTTTTAATTTTAATGAAATCTAGCTCATCAATTATGTCTTTCATGGATGGTGTCTTCGGTTTTGTATCTCAAAAGTCATCACCATACCCAAGATTATCTAGGTATTCTACTATGTTATCTTCTAGGAGTTTTACACTTTTGCATTTTACATTAGGTCTGTGATCCATTTTGAGTTAATTTTTATGAAGGGTATAAGGTATGTGTCTAGATTCATTTTTTTGCATGTGGATATTCAGTTGTTCTAGCACCATTTGTTGAAAAGACTATCTTTGCTCCATTGTATTGCCTTTGCTCTTTTGTCAAAGATCGAGTGACTATAATTATGTGGGTCTATTTCTGGGTTCTCTATTCTGTCCCACTGACCTATTTGTATAGTCTTTCACCAATACCACACTGCCCTGATTACTGTAGCTTTATAGTAGGTCTCAAAGTTGGGTAGTGTCAGTCTTTCAACTTTGTTCTTGTCCTTCAATATTGTGTTGGCTATTCTGAGTCTTTTGTCTCTTCATATAAACTTCAGAATCGTTTTGTCCGTATCTACAAAAGAACTAGCTGGAATTTTGACAGGGGTTGCCTTTAATCTATAGATCGGGTTGGGAAGAACTGATATCTTGACAATATTGAGTCTTCTTATCCACAAACATGGAATATCTCTGCATTTATTTAGTTATTTGATTTCATTCATCAGAGTTTTATAGTTTTCCTTATATAGATCTTGTACATATTTTGTTAAATCTATACCTAAATATTTCATTTTTTTGATCTTAATGTAAATGGTATTGTGTCTTTAATTTCAAATTTCACTTGTTGCTAGTATATAGCTAAGTGATTCACTTTTGTAATATTAACCTTGTATCCTGCAACCTCACTATAATTGCTTATTTGTAGCAGTGGCATAATTTTTAATGTTTTGGAATTTGGTGAGATTTTTCTTTGTGGATTAATATGAGGTAAATTTTTGTAAATGTAATGGCTTTGGGGAAATTGGATTACTTTTGGGTAAAATATTTATATGTATGTATACATTTACACATATACATTTGTTTAAAAATGTATACATATATGTACATATGCCTATAGATCAAGCTTGTTAATCAAATGATTCCTCAGATATTTCATGTCCTTCATCTTTTCAATTGATATAAATCATTATTTCCATAGAATCACAGCTCTTAGAACTGTAAGGGACCTCAAAATAATTAGATCCAGACGAGCAGAGTATTGTTATCCCCATGTTATAGTTGAGACACTGGAGGTACAGTAAGATGAGGTGATTTTCCCAAGGAAGCACAGCTAATGAATAACAAAATGAGGATTAGAGCCCAGGCCTTTGGAGTGAGACTATAAACAGGATGCATGTCAGGGCGGGTGTCCATTATCCTTCCTGTCTGAAGCCAAACCACATTAATAATATAGATCAATGCTATATTCATGAACTGTTGTTACTAATTAGAATGTTGACTGCATATCCAGTAAGATGCCTGTTTATGTCTATTAGAGAAGTGGAAGGTGAAATCTTCAAGTTGGAGATGCTACTTGAAGATGTTAAAGAGAAAATTAATAAGGGCAAATGTACTTCAGCCATCTCTCTTCCTGTGAGTTCTCCAATCATCTTGGATGACTTGGCATCCATATCCTCTCCACCCTCAAATGAGGTAATACGGCAACCTACAGCCTAATTTCATGCCAGGAAAAATGTTTTTTATGCATTTATAGAATCCTAATTCATGAAATCATGAATTCTATTTTAATATTTCATGAAAATTTAACTTTCCAAAGTCCCATGAATCATATTATTTAAAATGGAATGAACTTTTAAAAATTAGAAGCTATTTTAATGTTGGTTTTTGAAAGATCTTACTAGTTTAAGATGTAACAATGCAGTTTAAAGTGATGAACCACTGAAAAGCTATTTCTTCTGGATGAAGGGCAACATTTTTGTGGATTGTGCCTGGAAAAAAAATAATTTCTCTTCTTAATGGTTTTATATTCCCTCTTCTACATAAAGAATAACACAATCAGTGGGAAGAACTATTTCCCATGGGTCCACTTCTGCATTTTCCTCCTCTCAAGTTAAATTCTTTTGGATTGTCTACATGTGCAAGATTAGGAATTCAAATCAATCACCACTGTCTTTCTACACTTTTTGTTTTTGTAGTTTCAACTATCAGAACATTTCAGACTAAATTAAAATTCTGAGAAACTGAATCATCTGGATAATTGCCTTAAAGTGACTCTTTTGTTTCAGACGGTACTTGAAGTCACAGCCTGTGGCTGACACTCAAAATCTGAATAGGTTTTGGTCACAATTAAGAACAAGATGTTGAAGGTTATATAAATGCTAGCCCTGCCAAAAAAGTGTGTTTGCTCCTTCAAAACACTTAACCTTTCCAGCAAAATTTCATTCATGGCCCAGCTTCCGAGTCAGGCCATTTATATAACTTTGACACACAGTCCCCCACCCCAGGCAGAATTCTTTGCTCAGACCTCTGTGTCCCCAACAGGACTGTGTCTCACTTGTTCCTGTGCCTTTGTACCTATCTTTGTATCCCAGACATCTGACTGAGCTCCTGATATAGCGTGAATATCCAGTGTAGTAACCTCTGAGCCCTTGTGAATTTAACAGTTTCAGTGCTTCCCAAGCTGTGAACCAGAATTAGCTTCCTGGTGGTATGAGGGAGCCCAGGGAGTGAGCCCAGCCTTCCACCCAGCAGCTCCCTCAGATCAGGGTTTGCTTTTCTTTACTGGGTCCCAAGTTTACCAGCAACTATTGTGAAATAATAAGAACTCTAGAATTTTGTGGTAAGTGGCCCTGAAAAGAGAGTCTACTGCTAGGATCATTCATTCATTCAACAAATATTGCCAAATGCTAGGCACTTTTCTATGTATTGGAGTATAACATAAACAAAGCAGACAAATCACCTGCCCTCAAGATGCTTACATATCTCTAAGGGATACATACAATGAACAAATAAAATTAATGTATAATGACAGAATGTTAAAAGTGCAATGCACTTAAAATAATACATTCCTGTGACTCTGGAGCCGAACTGCCTGGGTCTGAGCACTGGCTCTGTCACTCAGCAGCTTTGTGACCTTGGGCAAGTTATGTAACCTCTCTGTGCCTCAGTTTCCTCTGTAAAATAAGTAATGATATCTGCCTAAGCTTCCAACTCCACTACTGTGAAAAATCTTTGCAAACTGTAAAGCCCTGAGCCAACAGAATTATTATAGTTTACTTCTCATTATAATTTTGCCATTATCATTTTAGACCTGCGGATTTTTAATCCCAGCACTTACAATTAATTTGTAATGAAATAATCTCAAGTGTGGTCCCCAGACCAAGAGCACTGACATCACCTGGCAGCTTGTTAGAAACTGTTATGATATTGTTATGGTGTTAAGTGAGTTAATATGGGTAAAGTGCTTGAAATGGGGCCTGGCTCATAGTTAAGCACACTAGCTGGGTGTTAGCTTTTGTGATTATTCAGTAATGGCATATGACCAAAAGTCACTCACTGTGGGAGGGCCGAGTCACTCGGGAGACATGGTCAGGGAAGGTTAAGATTTGAACTGAGTTGGAGGGAGGGGTAAGAAGGAGGAAGGTAGGTGGAGAGTTGGGGAAATAGAGCTACCCTATGACCCAGCAATTGCTCTACTGGGCATTTACCCCCAAAACACAGATGTAGTGAAAAGAAGGGCCATATGCACCCCAATGTTCATAGCAGCAGTGTCCGCAATAGCCAAACTGTGGAAAGAGCCGAGATGCCCTTCAACAGATGAATGGATAAAGAAGATGTGGTCCATATATACAATGGAATATTACTCAGCCATCAGAAAGGATGAATACCCAACTTTTACATCAGCATGGACGGAACTGGAGGAGATTATGCTAAGTGAAATAAGTCAAGCAGAGAAAGTCAATTATCATATGGTTTCACTTATTTGTGGAACATAAGGAATAGCATGGAGGACGTTAGGAGAAGGAAGGGAAAAATGAAGGGCGGGAAATCGGAGGGGGAGACGAACCATGAGAGACTATGGACTCTGAGAAAAAATCTGAGGGTTTTAGAGGGAAGGGGGTAGGGGGATGCGTGAGTCTGGTGATGGGTATTAAAGAGGGCAAGTACTGCATGGACCTCTGGGTCTTATACGAAAACAGTGAATCGTGGATCATTAACCTCAAAAATTAATGATGTATTGTATGGTGACTAACATAACATAATAAAATAAAATTTAAAAGAAAAAAAAAAAAAGGAACTCCAGGCAGGATCTGATGGTGCCTTAGGGGTGCGGTGGGGATGATGAACTGATTTGAGTCTCCCCGTGGAACTGCAGTTCTAAAGACGGTCCCTCTGTGCTGCTCCGTGGATTCCCACGGAACACCAGGGCATCCTTTGGGGCAGTGACAGGCCCCTTCCTCCACAGCTATCGCTCCTGAGGGAGGGCCTGACAAGTTCTGAAAGGAGAAAGGGAGAGTGGCCACAAGATGTCCCCACCACACTCTACCGCAGGTTGCTCCTTTCCATCGTGCCAGGAAGGCTGCAGTTAAATTTCCGATGACCCTTAGCCAAAGAATCCCCCAAAGTGGGGCTCCCACAGAGCTCAAGAACTGATTCTAAATTCAAACTGCCTAAAAAAACAAAAAAACAACAAACAGAATACCAAAACCCAAAAAACAACAATAACACAGACTAACCAGATCAAATGGCCATGAGGTTGTCCTCTGATCCCAGGGTCATGTCCAGCAGCCCATCCCTGCTCGGTTCAGTTCATTCTGTTGGATCTCTGACCATAACCAGTGTTGCTGAGTGTGGCTCTGAACCTGGCATCATCGTGATCACCTGGCTCTGAGATTAACTAACACCTTGGATGTCAGTGCTGGCGACAGCTGCTGGTGTTGCTAATGTTTCCCACTCTCAGCGCTCGGGAGACACTTGCCTGGGGTACCTGTTCTAGATCAGGGCTTCTCCAGCCACAGTGCACCTAGGAATCCTGTGCAAATCTTTCTGCACACAGGCTTCGATTCGGTGGGTCTGAGGTGAGCCTGCAGTTCTGCGTTTCTAACAAGCTCCCAGGTGATGCCAGTGCTGTTGGTCTGGGGACCACACCTTGAGATTATTTCATTACGAATGAGCTGGAAGTACTGGGATTAAAAACCCCTGGTCTAAGGGGGGAGTGGGAGAGATGGGGTGGCTGGGTGGTGGACATGGGGGAGGGTGTGTGCTGTGAATTGTGTGGGACTGACGAGTCACAGACCTGTACCCCTGAAACAAATAATACATTATATGTGAATTAAAAAAATGAAAAAAAAAACAAAACCCTTGGTCTAAAAGAATAGTGACAAAATTATAATGTTGGTTCAGAGCTCACGGTTTGCAAAGACTTGGCAGAAGAACAGTTGCAAGCTTAGGAAGGTGAGGACAAACGTCAGGGGATACTGGATCCCAGGCCTCCCAGTTCAGGCGGAGGGCACCTGCCTACATTCTGCTCATGTACATCTGCCTTATATGTGAAATGCAGGGTACCCCTGTACCCCTAAAAGTGAGAAGTGATCAAAGAAAATACAGGGGCAAAAGCCTTTTTTAAATTATAAAAACAATTTATGCTTACTGCAAAACAAATAAGAAGATAGAAAAAAGTATAAAGAACATTTCACAGAAAAATCATAGCTCATGTGTCAGTGTGAATCTGTCAGTCTTTTATCTTCTCCGCAGACACATACACATTTTCGCAAAACTGGGATCATGCTATATATATTGCTTTATGATGCTTTTTCTCTTTTAACATTCTATCGTGGGCATTTCAACAATCATGTAGAATAAACCTATGGCTTCATTTTTAAGGACTGCATTGTATTTCCTTATACCAATTCATTTAACCAATCCCTTGTTGATGGACATTTGGTTTGTTCCGGTTCTTTGATATTACAAACACTGCTTTGGTAATCATTTTATATGCAAGCTTTGGGCCATACTCGATTATTTCCTTAGACTAAAAACCCAGCAGTGCCGTTAATGGTTCAAGAGGCACAGAGTGAAAATTCTGATAAACTGGCCCTTAGCAAGGTGGTGTCATGCCCCAGCTGTGCATCAGAAAGGAGCTGTGTCCCCACCCCACCCCCAAGCCCACCCTGGGGATTTTTTTTTTTCTTTCCAAGCTTTGCCAAAGTGATAAGTGAAACTGGTATCTCATTGTTTTCATCTGTATTTCTTGGACTGTTTGTGAAATTTAACTCATTTTCATATGTTCCTCGGCCATTGCCACCTCCTCTTTGACAACATCAACATTTTAACTAATATTTGCAAAACCGAAACAAGCCACTTTTTTTTTTTTAAAGGCAGACAAGTTGGAAAATATTAAGAACAAATAACGTTCCACATTGAGATTTGTATTATACAAAGGGCTCTGACAGGTGCACAAAGGAGCAGGAAAATTGTGGTTAAGAACACAAGCAGAAGGGGAAAGTTTCAAATCCCAGTTCTGCCACTTACTCTCTGTGACCTTGCCAAGTTGCTGAAATTCTCTGAGCCTCAGGATTGCCAGGAGGGCGAGAAGGAACCAAGCAGGTTGTATGAGGAGGACCTGGCACAATGAGCAGGCCACAAACGGGTTGTTTTTGTTAGTAAGGAAACACCGAAAATCTCCAAAAAAGTAACGGACAAAGGAGATGAACTAAAAGTCACAAGTAGGAAACACAGCCAATAAATAAGCACATGGAGAAATGTTTATCTCCTTTAATAACAGAGGCAACTAACACAAGGTGCCACCGCCCCGCTTTTTAAATGAACAAAAATATTTCCAAGGATAATACCTGATGCAGCGGAAGGTGGGGTCAAACTGAGCTGCCCACATTGTTGGTGGCTGTGTCATTCTTACAACGTCTGTGGAAAGCAATTTGGCAACAGGTATCATCGCGCAAACATGTTCACGACCTTTGACCTAGACATTTCCTAAGGAAGTAATTCAAAATATGGAAAAACCTATCTGTACAAGGATGCTTGTGCCAGCATTGTTTATAATGGGGAGAAGAGCACGTGTTCTGTTTACAGAAAGGGTAAAAACCGTAGTAAAAAATACACTCTGGGTGGTGTCAGGCGTTTCCGTGAAGTCGTGTAATTTTTCTGTGTTAAAAAGGGACATATAAACAATAATTTCAGCCTCTAAATAGTCCTAAAGCCTGTTTTAATTCATAGTTGAATGCATTTCTTTGGAAAAGCTTGTAGAGCTCTACGAAGAGTGGTCAGATTGATGGATTTAAAAATTATCTTCCTAAAGCTGTTCATCCTCCGGTGGAGCCTGGGGAAATTTGAAACTAAGGAAAGAAAAAAGGGGGAGAGTATTCTCTCATCTGTAAACTAGTTGTTTAAATGTTTGGAGGAGGAGAGAGGCCAAGCCAGTATTGAAACCTTCTCTCTTTAAGCCCCAGGCCATTACAGCACAGACCCTGCCGAGCAAGAAGTCAGAGCAAAGGAGTCCCGAAGAGGTGAGTTCAGCTGCCTCTGTGCGTGAGCGGCGGCGGGATGAGTCACTTCCTCGCTCACAGCGACATCTGTGTGTGCTTTGTGGTGCAGGACAACCCCATCAACACCTCGGGAAGGCAGGACCACGCAGAGACGACCAGTCCAAGCTGTGCCTTTTGCCATGGGGTCCTTGAACGGTGAGGGCTTCTTGCTGCTAAACCCCAGGGCAGGTGGGAGCCAGTGCGGGGATAATAGCTCCGGTGAGAGCGGGCGAACAGGTGCCAGAAGCCACTGGCCAAGTTACAGATCGCAGATCGCAGGGCTGGGCATGCCCCGCCTCCCTCCCGATTCACAAATCCCTCTCACGGTGGCTCTTGAGTGGGGTGAGCATCAGAGTCATCGGGAAGATTGTTAAATAACGCACATGCCTCACCCTCACCTACAGTGTCAGCCTCACTGGGGCTTGAGCCCTGGTAGGAATACTTCTTTTAAATCTGCTCAAGTGATTCTCAGAAGTTCCCTCGGTTAAGAATCATGGCTACAGCCCACGAAGGGTGGTTTGTCCTGTAGGCTCTGTCAGAACATTACCCAGACGGGAGATGATTGCGCACCATTCATAGAGCAGCTTCTTGTGATGAGTGAAAATCTGCCCCTTCCCTCCCTCTGTCCCCAGTCCCACTGGAAATAAACCCAATCCCACCTGTC